TGAGGTCAGTAAATAGAACACTGCCCACAACAGAGAAATTTGGCTCCTTTCCCTCCTAATTTTAGCTTGTCCCTATGAGCTTGACTTTCATGGTAACTCCTCCTTGCTTTTCTGTGTAGTTTGTCACTTAAATAGATGAAGCAATTTACAATCTTCCCCAAGAAAAACCAGAATCCTGATCCCATCTAGGGGATAAGGTTTTCCTCCTGAAAAATACTATTTTAGGATCAGAGCTTCCCAAGAATGAGGGCACTGGCTCCATAGAAGCCAATGGCCCAGAGCACTCAGAGCTAGCTTTACCTGTCTTTTGTTTGAATTTTATGTAAATGAGATCATCCTGCATATATTTCTTTTGTTCAACATACTACTGAATTTCACCACAATGTGTTCATTTTCATGGCTAGGTGGTATTTCATACTATGAAAAATATATATGCACACACACACACACAATCACAGATCAATTATCCATTCATAGGCATTCTGAATATTCCCAGGCCAGGACCATTTTAAAGAACATCATCACTGAATATTCTTATGTACATCTCCTGTTGTAACTATAGAGTGTCTGCCTAGGAGTTGGAATTTCCATGTTATAAGGCATGCGTGTTCAGCGATATTAGACATACCACCACCAAAGCTGTCTCAGGAGAGTTGCTACCACTTTAAATCCTCCCTCAGAAGTCTGAGAACTTCACTTTCTTTCCAACACTTGAAATTATCACACTTTAAAATCTGCATGTAATTGCAGCAATTAAGATCTATAGACATTTCCCTGTTTACAATGATACTGAGTACCTTTCCTAACAGAAATTGGTCATTTGGATTTTTCTTTTGTGAAGTTCTGGTTGAGATCGCTTGACCAATATTCTGTTGCAATGCTTGCATTTTTCTTTATCTCTAATCTGCAAATAAGCCCTTTGCTGGCTTTGTGTGTTGTGGAGAGCTCCCACTCTCTGTCTTGCATTTTATTCTCTTGGTATCTCTCAATGGACAGACTTTCTTTATTTTAATGTTGTCATCCTAAGTAGATTAACTTACAAACTTGTAAACTTATATATTTAGTGCTTTTGTGTGTGTGTTATATTTAAAATCTATTTTCCTAACCTTAGAGCAGTGTTTCTTTACTTTAGCACCACTGCCATTTTGTATTAGAGAACTCTGTTGCAAAGGCAGTCCTGTGCATTAAAAGCTAGTTAGGGGGGCCTCCCCGGTGGTGCCGCGGTTGAGCGCTGGGTTGTGAAGCTGCCCGCAGCCTCTGCAGCGCTGGTTCGATCCCCGGCCACCTGGTAAGGGTCCCACATGGCGCGCAGACCTCTCCTGCCGCCCGCTGCTCCCCTCAGCAGTGTACCTCGGTCCTTCTGCCTGCTCTGCTCCCTGATCTGGCTCTGGTGAATTCTCTCACCCTCCTCCGCTTCTGACTGTACCCAGTGCTTATATAAATAAATAAATCTTTAAAAAAAAAAAAAAAAGCTAGTTAGGGGCCTCCCTGGTGGCGCAGAGTGTTGGGTACCATATTGTGGGGCGGTCGGCAGCCTCTGCAGCACGAGTTTGATCCCCGGCCCGCCAGGGGGAAACCCACATAGCAAAGCAGACCTCTCCTGTCTTGCCCGCTGCTCCCCTGTCAGTGTATTTTGGTCGGTCTGCCTGTTCTGTTCCCCACTCTGTCTCTGGTGGGTCCTCTCACCCCCCGCGTCTCTGGCCTATACCCCAGCTCTTGTGTGCATAAATAAATAAATCTTTTTTTTTTTTTTTTTTTTTAAGAAGCTAGTTAGCAGCACCCCAGGCCTCTATCCACCAGATGCTGAGAGCAACCCTCTTCCCTGCAGTCCTAGCCTACCCCAGCTTCCCAAGGCTCTTGCAGCCCTGAACTTAATCCTGGTGCGGAGCATTTCTAAGTTAAAGATATCATTTCCTCACTTACTTTTTGAATTATTTCTAAGGCTCTCTCTTGTCCCTCCAGCTGTCTCTGTGTCTACAGATTCACCTACTTTTCTGAGGCTGAAAAATCAAATAGACAAGTAGAGTTCTTGCTGGCTTTGTCCATTTCATCCACAAAGGGAAACAAGTACTGCATAATTCCCATTTTGACATCTTTTAAAGGCATCAGAGCATAAAATTTCTTGTCATCATTTATAATTGGTGCAATGAGGTTGCTGTAAAGCTTCTCTTAAAAAAGGAGCCACAGATGGTGCAGGCAGTTGAGTGCCACGCTGTGAAGCTGTCTGCAGTCTCTGCAGTGCAGGTTTGATCCTGGCCGGCCTGGGAGAGACACACATGGCGCGGCAGACCTTTCCTGTCTCCCCCGCTCCTCCCCTCAACAGCGTATTTCGTCAGTCTGCCTGTTCTGTTCCCTGCTCTGTCTCTGGTGAATCCTCTCATCCTCTGGTGCCTCTCATCTGGCCTGTGCCCTGGTTCTTGTATAAATAAATACATCTAAAAAAAAAAAAAAGGAGCCACAGATATTTTCCTCCATGTACAACTCCAGGTTTTCCCATCATCCTTCATTCTTGCCACAATGTACCCAAAGATGAAACAACTCATATCCACACAAAGCAGAAGATAGAAAAGAATGGCACCTTTAGCAATGTCTGTATACTTGAAACCTTAAGTGTGAATAAGATTTTGCAAAGGGAATTTTATTTCACCTATAGGAAAAAAAAGATCAGTGGGTTCCATGGGGTATACTTGTTAGTCTGAAAAGAGATTCAGAGCTTTTACCCAAGATCAAGTGTACTATACACCCTTACCACTTTATCATCTTATAAGGCCTTTATTCAGAGAAAAAAAAAGTAAGTGGGTTCGGGGTCGGGACAGCAAGATGGATGGATGTGTATTCCATCCGGGGTGCAAGCTCCATCTCTTAGCTTCAAAAATCCACTTAATGCAGTGTTCTCAGTAAAACAACAAAATAGCAAATATTAAACTATGAAAAACAGATACCACCCCAAAGCCCCTCACCCCCAAATTCCCAAACTTTGGGGGACTCTTGAGGTCCTTCCTTTGTTCACTCGTCTAGTTCACAATGAAAAACCTCAGCCTGTCTAAATTTCGCCCTCTCTTATTTGAATATTACACTGAAACCAATAATCTCTTTTGCAGACATTTTTGTTACCCTCGTGATTTATTAATGACTTTCGCATCCTTTTCTGTGCACATCTCCCCTGGCTGAAGTGGCGGTTGATTTGACATTGTCCAGTCTCTTCCCCTGGGGCGTGGCCATGACGGGCCTCCCTCAGGACTGCTCCTGCTTCTGGGAAGCCGGTTGGAAAAGCTCTAGAACCACCCCATTGTGGGCTGGGACACACGTTGTGCCCGAAATTGAAGGAAATTTGGACTTGGGTGAATGTAAGATTGGTGAACAAGGTTGTTGCAGGCAGAGAGGTCAGCACTCACCTGGGGAAAGTGTGTCTACACAGGGGTGCCACTTGAGTGTGAGGTGAGGTCACTAACTGAAAAGAAGGGGCCTACAGGACTGAGGAGAGAGGAGAGAACATAAAACAGCTCTGAGAGTGGGAAACTTACTGGGGAAACAGGATGGGTTGGAAACAGAATGGTTCTCCTCCCCCTCTCTCTGCTCTTTGGGGCCCAGTGAGGTAGGAGGATTGTCTAGGTGGTGACCCAAACCTGCCGCAGGGCTGAGAAAGGCTCAACCCAACAAGGGTAAGGGGGGTTTATTACATGCAAGAGGATTGGGGGACCATATTTATATGGCTCTTTTTTTTTTATATATATATATATCTATTAAACAAACATGATAATGGGAACTGGGGGGTTTCTTTGCAGTCAGAGAAGGAAGGTACAGATATAGAAGAGGGAAAACTACCAAAGTGATCTGCTCTGTTCAGTCGCAGGGGGACGTTTTAGAGCTGCCTTGACTTAAACAGCTGATTTTCCTCCTTTCTTGAAGTGTTGTTTCACTTTGTTTGTGATATCACATGTATGTACCTGCGGCTAATTTTCTGGCCTTTTTTCTGCAGTGTCCTTTCCTACTTTTTTCCTCTCCTAAATGAAAATTTCTTCCCCCTGGACTCCTCCATGGTTCCTTGAATACCTTCTGATCTTTTTTTAAAGGGGAGACATTCAACTCTATCCAGTCACACTAAAATCTAGTTAAAGACAAAAAGGGCTACGATGATTGGGGTGAGGAGGGTTTAGATCTATAGGAAGTGGCCTTTCTAAAAGAAAACTGGAAGCTACATAGGACATAAGGACCTTTAATCACTTCTCATTGTCCTAAGGACAAACCCAAGGTTCTTGCCATGGATTTGGGCTATTGGGAGACTTCCTCTCTTCTAAGCGTTAGCTCTGGTGGCTCCTTATATAGTCATCTATAGAAAATTCCAGTTTGTCAAATAAGCAACTGCGTTCTTGCTTATGGACCTTTGGACATGGTAGCATCTCTGCTAGGAACACACTTAGAAATGAAAATTGATCCTCTGTAGAAGATGGCTTAGATGTTGTTTGGTGAGGCTTTTCCCGAATGCCCACTCCCAACCCAATGAATTAGTTGCCCCTGCTCCCCTCATTATCCTTTGCCCCACTGTTGTACCCCTGGATTGTGATTGCCCTTCGACTTGTTGGTTTCCTGTTGGTCTGCCAGCTGTTGGTGAAGAGTGTCTTAAGTTCTTATTTTTTAATTTCATCCTGGCATAGTGCAGGCTCACAGCTGCTGCTATTTATTCATGCATATTATGATAATTCCACTTTTTCCTTGTCCAATTTTTGGTATTTTCAAAATTTAGTCAGCATTTTCCTCCCTGTATTTCTATTCAGTTTTAGTCCTGCTTTCATAGAAGAACCTTTGAAGATTTGTTCAAGAAGTGGGAAGCAAAGTAGGGCTCAGCTTCAGGGTCACCCAAGACATTGTAGGGGAAAAAAGTTTGTCTGGAACATTTTGAAAATGACATACATAAGCCACAGTGATTTCCTTAAGACTATCAACATCACATACCAATTTCCATGATTTTAATTAAAATTCTTCACAATATACTGTGTGTAGATTGATGCTCTGTTGTATATTGGTAACTTTATTGAACCTTGGCACCTACTTTACAATCATTTTCAAAAAATCACAGTACTTTGGTATCTTACTGAATATGCTTGTAGCCCCAGTGTTACTCAAAATAACCTCTGAAAAAGAATTTTGTCAACTCCAAAGATGAAATTTAACTGACCTTGTTTTGTAGTATCTGTCAAAAAGAATTTTTCTTGGAATTTTTAGAGAAAAGAGAATATTTTGTGTAAATAATTCATAGTCTCCTTGTGCTCTATTTTGGTCTCTTTTTATCAGCAGATTAACTATACTGAGAACTGAGAAAGTGTTACAGTACAAAATAGTCATTGTGAATGCCATGGAAGAACAGTTGATTTGAGGATCCATTCACTCACTTGGAGACTAGTCATATAATCAGTTATACATCTATAATATTCCTTACCCCATATTTGTCATTTTGTGCAAATTTGAAGAAAACCTATACAAGTCTTACCTTAAGGCAAATGTATCATTAGGTTTATTTTTTTCATAGGATTAAGTAATCAAGGAAATGGAATAGCCCAATTTCTCTGTCTTGGTGCCGCCACATCAGATTTTTAGATTCTGATGGTCACTGCTTCCCTTTCTAGAAGGTCACAGTCTAAAATGGGAAGAGTCAGAGCATAGGCATGCTAATAAGAGCTGAGATGCTGATTCATTTTATCAGGAGTTTATTTTTCCCAGCTAAAGGTTGTATTTTTGAATAAAAAATGGGAAGTGCAGATAATTTTATTTTTGAAGTTCCACATCTTTCCCCACTGTGTTAAAAAATATTAACAAAAATAATTTTAAAGTTAGTAATTTAATATTAAAATAGGCATATAAATATAACATTGTAGAATGTAAAGTGTTTTCCTATCACAGAATCTTGTTATCCAAGGCATTTTAGAGAACAATCCTTTTAGTCATATTTGAAAATGAGGAAAATGAAGTCATGACTTCCCCCAAATCATATAACAACTTGATGACATAGCTAAGACTAGATTCCCAGGCCATCACTTTTTCTACAACAAAACAATGATGTCTAAATATTTGATATGCTTTTCATATCAATCCTTTTCACAGGATTACCAGAATATATAAAAGTACTGGCCAAACAGAATAATCTAATGGCATTTTATTTCTTAAAAATCCCTCCCAACTATTTGGAAAACTTGTAGTCATTTACACATTTCTATCCTAAAAAGTGGCTTTAAGTAAGAATAAGCAAGAGATTTTTACAATGGTAAATGTGATCTACCCAAGAGATCTTGTCTGATAATGACAAATTTCTCAGTTACAGTTCTTTCAGCAGTTGAATGGGAACAGATCACTGACACAGAACAATAAAATGTAGAAATTAGAACACTTTATTATAAACATTTCTAGAACAGAAATTGACTTTTAGGATATAAACTTTGAAACTTAAAACTATATGTAACCTAAGCTTACTATTACTTAATGGATTTCATTTTCTACTTTCCAATTTAGAAAATACACTGCAAGTTAGATTTAACAAAGGGGGAAAAAAAAACCAACCTAAGTTGCTTCATAGAGAAAACTGATGAATATAAAAATACCTCCCCTAAATTAAACCAAACCCAATCAAGAAATAGAGTCTGCAAAGCCTATTAAGCCTCTAATTTAAAATAAATGACCTCCCAAGGGGTAACTACTTCCACCATCATAGCAATTTGATGCAGAAAGAGCCACTTTCATTAAGGGAAATTACATTATATGTAAGAAAAATTGTAGCAATGCCTTCAGAAATGAGGAAAATGAATTTCCCTGCTGGAGAACAGTAGCTACTTCCCGTTCACTCGGCCTGTTACAAGTTTGAAGTGTCTGTTCACATGAGAAAAATGCTATGAACACAAATGTCATAAACCCAAGCTCCTCAGTACTTTTTCAATTTAGCCTTGGGAGAACCAACTGGAGAGAGTCAAAATCCAAGGATAGACTGATCCCAAAGCATTTCCTCCTCTGTCCTTTCCTTGCCTTGTTCCTTTTTTTCTTTTCTATGCTTACGCTCCTCTTTCTTAGAGGCTACTTCTCTTTTTTTCTCTTTTCTGTCCTTAGGCTTTTCTGTATCTACCCTGCCTGCTTCCATCTCTGTTGTGTTTCTTTTGATGCTTTTGTATTTGTCTAAATCTATTTCCTCACAAGTTTTTTTTCTCTTATGCTTGGGCCGTTCCTCCTTTGGTTTTTCTCTGCCTTCCTCTGGGTGCCGTTTTCTCTTGTGATGTATCTGTTTGTGACTGGTTTGATGGATGTTGGTACTGCTTTCTGAGGAGAGGTGCTTGTGAACTCCAGAATCTATACTATATGAGTTACAATTATACTCTGGCTGACTAAGGTGGAGGGGTACTGACTTTTCTGAAAAACAGTCCCTGGTGAATTGACAGTAGCTCAGGGAGTCTAGTCTCAGCCTACTGTCATGAGCTGGCAGCCACTGTGGCAACCGGTTTTCCACTCTTTGTGAAATAGCGCATGATCTTGGGTAGGTCTGGATGGTTTCTGATGGAAGTCTTTGATTAAACATTCTATACCTGGGTCTGGAATCAACCTCTTCTTTGTATCTACAGGTTTCCAAAAGGTCCTCTCTCATTTTTCTGAAACAAGTCTTTGGCTCTAAGCCTCTGGCTTTCTGTACTTTGATATAATCTTCAAGTTCATCTTGAAAAGAGTTATATGTCTTCATTGAATGTTTCATTAGGTTGAAAACAAAGGGTTCTCTGTAGAGAAGAGAGAGAATTCTTTTTACTAGGTTATTTTATTCTGAAAAGTGTATTTCCTTTACTTTTGAAAAGAGCTTCACAAAACAAAAACAAAGATGCCCAAGCAAATTAAATCCTATGTCTGCATAAAGTTAAAAATCACACCATTATACACCAAAAAGGAGCACCAGAATGGTCAAATATCTCCCAGGTCACTCACAAGTAACTCTCCTTCTCAGAAGTGGGATGAAGAGGACAGGAAGGAGCTGACATAGAGGACTGTGTTATGGGACTGAAAATGTAAGGCATATAGGGATGTGTGGGTAACGGCTACACATGCATGTTGTGTGACCTGACCTGAAAATTGAGTAAGTTCTAAAGTTCTGACTCATTAGTTTTTATATATTGTTTTCTAAGAAAAGTAACAGATCATAGAAAAGAAACTTGATCTTTAAAAATCTTCAGTTTACTCAAACAAAACAAAATAAAGAGACATACTCACCTAACTAGAATACTGTAAGACTTAATGATAAAAGGATGTTTGTAAAATATTTTGAGACTGCTGGAAACTAGAAATTCAGCTATGAGATAAAACTACTCTTCGGTTTACAGGGTATGAGGGGAAAAAAGAGAGAACAGAGTTCCGTGTCTTCTATATAGGGCTTGGACTTCATTCCACCACTTATGATTGGTGAAAAAAGCATTCTAGAATGTCTTTTGATTTGTTCTTTCTATTAAAGTGCTGATGGGAAGGGTAAGGGAGGAAATGGAAGGAAAGCTGAGAGGAGTAGAAAGGATGTAGAGAAAGTTTCAGAAGAAATATAAAATAGTTATTTTTTTATATTTATATAAAATAGATAATTTTTGTTTGACTATTGGGGGGGAGGTGAGCACTAACCCTGACTCTCTTCCCCAACTCAACTCCTGCATAAATACAAATAAAGCAGATAACATACTTATTAGGAATGACAATGCCCTAGGTAGTTTGGTGATATATTTTATCAGTAAAAATAGGGAGGCAGCATAACTCACGCAGGACTAAACATTCTTTCCCTTTAACAAAAACAAATATGCGTGACATAGCAGTCTGAGTCACTAATGATCATCTATCTCTTGTGGAAATTTGAGATCAGAAAGAAAGTCTAAATGAAGCCTAATTTGATGATTCAGAAAATTTAGCCCCTATTCAACGTAAGTATAAAAATTACGATTAGCATAAAATAATGAACAAGAATTTCACTAAGTATGGGTAAAATATTTGAACAGACACTTCATAAAAATATACAAAAGGTTAATAAACACAGGACAAGATGCTTGATATCATTAGACATTAAGTAAATGGCAATTAAAACCACAATGAGATACCACTATGTACTCATTAGAATGAGTAATCATTAGAATGATTACAGTGAAAAAGATGACAACATGAGGTGTAGAACAACTGGAATTCTCAAACACCCTGGTGGATGTAAAATGGTACAACCATTAGAAAACAGCTTGGTAACTTCTGAGAAAGTTAAACACATACCCACCATATGATCCAGTTATTCCACTCCTAGATATTTACCCAAGGGAAAATGAAATATATGTTCACATAAACAAGAATGTTCACAGCAGGGTTTTTCATTTGTTTTTTGTTTGCTTGTTTTTTTGGTAATAACCCCAGAAAGGAAGAAACCCTTGATGATGTTGATGAAGGTGAATGAATAAATTATTGAAATTAGATGATGTAAAAGGAAAATTTTCTATTTTTATCTTTGAAAAATTTTGATAATAAAAAGATTTTACTTCATGCCACTGGAATTGCTATAGCCAAAAAGACAGATAAGTGATGGCAAGAATGTGGAAAAACTGGAAACTTCATTGTTGGTGGGAATGTGAAAAGGTGCAGTTACTTTGGAAAGCAGTTTGGTAGTACCTCAAAATGTCAAACATCGAGTTACCATATGACCCAGCAATTTCATCCCTAAGTAAATAATCAAAAGAACTAAAACCTACTTCTACACAAAACATGTAAATGTTGAATAGCAGTACTATTCAAACAGCTAAAAAGAAGAAACAAACTCAATGTCTATCATGGTATGTTCACACAATAGGATATTACTTAACAATAAAAGGAATAATGTACTGATCTATGGCTTACCATAGATGAACACTTGAAAAACCAGCCCTGAAGAACACAGATAGCAGAGAGATGAAAAATGATGAATGGAATCTTACCTTTATCAGGCTGAGAACTTTGTGGAGAAATCTGAACATATTCACTCATTAACTGCTTCAGCTTTTTAGCACCAACTTTCTCCAAATAGTGAGACTGTATACCAGCTGGGGAGCTAAAAACCATGACGCAGAGATTATAAAACTCTATTTTTGTCCAATAGTCTATTCCCATATACCTGAAACTAAGCACAATCTTGTTATAAAGATGAAATAATTCAAGGTTTAGAATTCCAGCATTAGTACAGATCAGTTATCCGAAAACTCATAAAAATCTAGTGTCAATTTCTTTCATTTTGCTTCCTATAAATTTCAAAGTAAAGCTAACCTTTTGAGCATGTATTTTACCTGGAGCAATAAATAATATCTTATTTTAGAACCAAGTCACCACAAATATACCCCTCAGAATTGAAGATAGCATTAATGAATTTTGATATATTTAGCCTGAACTAAGAGTTTAGGAATAGCATTTCATTTGCTTTAAAATCAAAGTATCAGTTTCAGTAGAAATAATCCCATGATTTAGGATTTAGCGCTTTATTTTCAACCTACCTCATAGTGTGAAATCCTCTGTGATTCAGACTACAGTATTACAACACATATACCTTCTACAAAAGGTATCTGTAAATAGTTCAGTTCATTCGATGTTATCTATGAATAAAATAAAGGAGGTAAGACAGATCATATTAAACATTTAAGGTAATACTTTAAGTTTTCGACTAGATATTTCATTATTCAAATATCAATTTCCTGCGTGCTTAAAAGGCTATTATTGTATTTGCTTTTTGCTCACTACAATAGCAATTTAAGCATGAAAACATTCAGTAAACCTCTAATGTTTAATGTGGTAAACAGAAAATGTCATTCTGAAGAAGTTAGTGTAGCACCAGCAGGAATCTGAACTTTATGAAAATGGTCTGGGGCACTAGTACTAAAAGGCTGGGCTAAGAAATCTCTAGCCTTGACACTTTTGTGCTTTATCACAGAAAATCTCAAGAAATGCAGTCTATTTTCAGATAGTCACAGATTCTAGCTATACAATGAATGTCATCTTAGAATTATAGAGGAACCACAAACCATCTTTACCTGCAGTGGGCAACCACCCTCCACAGTTTGTACAAACATGACCACAAACAAGGGTCACAACAACAAAGCTCAGGTAAACCACTCAAGGCTATAATTATATTTATATATTCAATGCCTTGGATATATTGCAGGTTTCAGATTACTGAATAAAGCAAATACTGCAATCAAGTCCCATTACATTTTTGTTTGTTTCCCAGTGCATGTAAAAGTCATATTTATGCTATACTATCATCTGTTGAGTATGGACTAGCACTATGTCTAAAAAAAGGACATAACTTAATTGTGACACAGAGACACAATATGATCACATTACAGTTGAAAAATGGCATGACAGAATGGCTTGAGGCTGGGTTGCACAAATCTTCAATTTGTAGTTTTGCTGAAAGTGTTCCATACCACATGTCAAAATTACTACATATATAGTAAAAGTCTGCATTACTATCTAAAGCTGCTAAAATTTATTCTATAGACATTTGCTAGTTTATAAATATGTCAATCACAGAACACCAAAACTGTATTTTCTATGCAGCTATTTAATTGAATGAATCGGAGCCACACATATTGGCATAGAGAAATATCCGTGACATATTAAGGGGAAAAAACAAGATGTAAAACACCTTACTTATTGATCTATTGATTGTAAAATCTAACTTTAGTATAGAGACATTCAACATACGTACACAACTACAAATTAAATAGATTATATATATATATATATATATATATATATTTACTGTAAGGAAGAAGTTAAGAGTGACTGCTCACTCCTCCTCCTCTTGAGGGGGAAGAGGGAAGAAGGCAGGTAACCTCCCGACCACTGAGTAAAGAGCTTAATGATATTTACTAGGAGGACAAGACCTTGTCTCTAAAATGTCCGTAACAAGATGTTCCTGGCTAAAGATTGATTAGCTACAGTAAATAATCGCAGGATTTATGAGGCAGTTCCCTGAAGTACATCACAAACGATGCAACTCCCTGGAGTGACCCTCACTTAGAAACCTCCTCTGTTTATTAGAAACCTTATTGGCTATTATTCTATCAATAGAAAGCTCATCCATTATTCTGGGTGGAGCTGCATGTCCAATGAAGGAAAAAGTGGTCAGAAGGGTCATCATGTGTATTTACTGTAAATACTGTTTCATTAGCACCTCTGGTTGCCTATATTACTGAACTTGTTGCTAGGTAATATTACTGATTCATGTTCAACAATCTGATCTTGTGTGTTAGCTGAATGCCCATAGAAAATATCTGAGAAGATAAACACTAAATTTAATGGGGTTTGGGAATTTAACGGGGTTAGGAAAGGAATATGGGAAAACACTTTAAATTTGTCCTCTGTACATATTTGTTTTAATTTTTGTCCCCCCAAAAAACTCCAAAAAAGAGAAAGACAAGAAGAAAAAAACAAAGGAAAAAAACACACACAAAAAATAAAAACAAAAGTTTTGAATAAAAATACTATGTTTCAAAAAATTATAAGTAAACATTTGGAGAGATTAGATGACTACTTATAAATCTCTAATGTATCTCTCTCTAAATTAGTTTTGAGTTGTTTTAAAGTATATAATTTAATTACATTGACCCTAAAGTTTAGTGAGACCAAAAAAAAAAAAGTCAACTAATAAGGCTTTCAGAACTTTCACTGATTCAGAATTAAAATATATAACCTGACTGTGGTGATGGAACACTGACTTTTTTATTACAAATCTTTAATAAGAACTGGAGAATGTCTTTTGGTGACAATCAAAACTTAGTATGGATGGAAAATTTACAGAAGACTAGTAAACTTAGAAGACTAGTAAATTTAGAAACTCCAGATATCCTTAAAAAAGGTTCAACCCTTAACGTCAGATTCCCCATTTCTAAAAGTCAGTGCTTTAAGTTGACACCTTGGTAAGAAACTTGAAATTACCTTTAACTTCTTCACCACCAAACTATCAATAGCTCTTGCTTTTCTCTATCTCTCTTAAACATCACATTCCTAAGCTCAAAATCTCAGCTATTTTTCTCCTTATCAAACCTTGAGTCATATCAACTCTGGCTTTATAATGTTTTTCAATGTTACTCCTTTATTTTTCAATTTCCATATCACTTAGTTCAAATTCTCCATAACACTGGGCTTTACTGAACATTATTATTATGGGGCCTCCCTGGTGGCGCAGTAGGTTGAGAGCAGTGCTGTGAAGCTGTCTGCAGCCTCTGCAGTGCGGGTTCGATTCCCAGCCGGCCAGGGAGATACCCACATGACGCAGCAGACCTCTCCTGGCTGTCCCGCTGCTTTCTCAGCACTTATTTTGCTCCTTCTACCTGTTCTGCTCCCTGCTCTGTCTCTGGTGAATTCTCTCACTCTCTCGTGCCTCTGACCTGTACCCCAGTGCTTGTAAAAAGAAATAAATCTTAAAAAAAAAAAAAAAAGACTGTCATCCTTAAAAAAAAAAAAAAAACAAAACACATTATCGAGTTTTGTCTTCAAGGTACCATAGTGAGTACTATGGGACTAGGTAGGAGGGAAAAGAGATGAATATTTATTGAGTGACTTGTGTATGCCAAACAAGATAAGAGGTAATTCTTTCAGTCTTTCACTTCTGTAAGGTTAAATGGAATGTCCTACTCTTCATTATATTTTTCTCTTTTTTTTTTTTTAAGATTTATTTATTTATACAAGCACTGGGGTACAGGCCAGGAGTGGGAGGGTGAGAGAATTCACCAGAGACAGAGCAGGGAGCAGAACAGGCAGAAGGACCGAAGACACTGCTGAGGGGCGCAGCGGGCGAGCCAGGAGAGGTCTGCTGCGCCATGTGGGGTATCTCCCTGGCCGGCTGGGAATCGAATCCGCACTGCAGAGGCTGTGGACAGCTTCACAGTGCTGCTCTCAACCCGCTGCACCACCAGGGATGCCCCAAATGTCCTACTCTTTAAAGAGCAGGATTCAAAGAAATTAAAATAACTTGCCTCATGTGTTAATTGATAGTGCTGATCTTAAACAATGGTTTATTTGGACACTTTCCATTATATATACATGGCTGTTTCACACACTAGGAATTATAAATAAGTAAACAAGGCAAGTCCTAACATCAAGAAAATTATAGTTTTGAAAATGATATGAAAGAACTAAAATGTAAGACAAAAGCATGTTGAGTGCCATAAAATAGGAAAACAGAATGTTTTCTTGTGAAGGGTTTGGGAAACGTTTTATGAAGAACAGATTCTAGATTGATCCTTAACACCCAAGAGGAGAAAGCAAACATACAAAAATGAACAATGATGTAAAATATATATAAACTATATAAAAATTTTTAAAAAGACAGGAGAATAGAATAGATAAAATTTTAAAAATGAGTAAAGAAAGGGCATTCTAGAGGAGGGATAGGCACTAGAAAATGCTCATCTGTTTTAAATAAGATATGCATGAAGGTCATGAAAGACTATGCTGTAATGGCAGAATGTGGCCAGATTATAATAGGCCTTCTTCGGATATTTGGATTTAATACTGTAGCCAATAGGGGAAGAGACTCGAAATGGGGATATAGGTTAGGAGGGTACTGCAGGCAAGAGATATTGGGCTAAAGCGGAAGACTGGCAGTGAGAACAGAAAAAGGAAGAAAGAAACATTCTAAAGGTAAAATCGAAGGAATTTGTGGTAGCTGGGAAAGCAGGTAGAAGGAACAGAGAAGCACAGATGACTCTGAGACTTTGATTTTGGGTAAAGTTATTTTTGTCAGAATGAAGATGAAGAGAGGTATTATTATCACTGTTACTGCTTTTGTTGTTATTCTCCAGAAGGAGGGGCGTAGGGAGTGGAGAAGCTTAGTGTTCAAAAAGATGGTGGATTTGACTTTGGAATAAAGTTAGATTCTATCAAGTGTCTGTCACACCTGTCCTTTCCCTTCCTATTCTGTGTGTTCTATTCCTCTATAGCTCTAGAACCAAGTTGAGATAACTTGCAGATGTTCTATGTACCTTGAAATTTGTTATAAAGATTATAAATTAAAACAGTTGGACACTGGCCAAACTTCTGTGAACATGGTGGACAATAAGGAACCATAAAAGAAGGAAGGTATGATAGTAAATTATACGTATTGTAGAAAGCTTCCCTCAGAAAACATTTATGCTACCTTTATTCCATTTTCTTAGTGGATACATTTACTTATTACGGGTTGTAGCATTCTACAGTTTGAAGAACACAGACTTCAAGTCTGTAGAGCACAATGAAATGATCATGTCCCTTGACCTGGATGCTAGTTCCATTTTTACCGTATTCTTTGGCATTATTTTTTTTAAAAAATAGGTGTCATATTATAGTTTCTACTGACCTTTGTAATTGTTAAAATACTAGAGGCAACATTTCATTCCCTATATTGGCTCTTCTCCCACTTGGTAATAAATGTAACATGACTTTTTCAAAATGCAGGCTTTATACTGCATCTCATGAGTTTAATTATTCCAATCTATGAGATTTTTTACATTAAAATTCTTTTAATCTTTAAATTTACTATGGCTCTGCAAAGGTAAGAGTTTTCATCTATGTCTTCATCTACGGCACTGGTAAAAACTTTCAGTAGGAC